CTCAGGGTTGGAGAGTCTCATGGACTTCCCTGCCTGGGTCAGCAATCGATCCTCAGATCCCAACTACCTGAGTAGTGAGGATGACAGGTGTGAGCTGCCGTAGCCTGGCTCTCCTTTCAGGATTTCCTGCTCTTCCCTCAGCGCTGTTAAATCCATGATCCCAACAGTTCAGACGCCTCACCCTGGGCTTCATACTCTGACAGCCCTTTCCTGCTCTTCCCTACTTTGAGACATTGCTCTCTCTGCTTCTTTCTGAGACATCATGTTTTGTTTCTGAGGGCTGTCTGCTCTGCTTACACACACCTCACTCTCTGGCCTTTCCTCCCGACTATTCGCGCTGTTTCCTCCTTGAGGGCCATCAACTCTGTGTTTCAGTCCCATCAATAGTCACTTCCCAGCACTTAGCACAGGCTGGGCCCTGCCTCTCCTTAGGTCGTGCTGTGCTGTGTGTGCCTGCCCCGGCCCCGGCCCCGGCCCCGGCCCCTGCCCAGCTCTCTGACCCGCGCTGTGCGCTTGCTCTGGCCCCAGGTCTGCAGGTGGTGCTCAAGTCCATCATGAAGGCTATGGTCCCGCTGCTGCAGATCGGGCTGCTGCTCTTCTTTGCCATCCTCATGTTTGCCATCATTGGCCTCGAGTTCTACATGGGCAAATTCCACAAGGCCTGTTTCCCCAACAGCACAGGTGAGATCTGGCACCAGCCCTGGGCTCATTCATCTAGAAGGTTCCAGACCAGCAAGGTGCGCATGTCCCAGTGGAGGACACAGTGGCAGCCCAGTAAACACAAATATACACAGACAGGAAGTAAGACTGGTGGCAGCAACTTCTAGAAAGGAAACAGAAAGGTATTTTAAGTAGAGTAATTTTAGGCCAGTTCCACACAGGAGTACAGGAAGGCCGGAGTACACGCAGGCCATCTTCCAGTCCTTCTGAGAGAAGTAGAGATGAGGGGGAGGAGCACTGGACACGGCATGCCATCTTCCAGTCTGATCTGTGCAGTTATGACCAGTGCCAGAGGACAAGAAAAAGAAGAAAAGTTCTGTCAAGAATTTGAAAGGAGGTGGGGGGGCGGGGGAGGATGGGAAGGGATGGGAGGGGAAACAAAGGAGGAGGCTACAATGCTTGATAAGAAATGTATTCATGTAATTGTAACCCTCTGTACAGTATTTTCACAATTAAAAAAAAAAGAATTTGAAAGGAGGATGGGGCTTGTGGTGCAACTCAAGTTTAGAATGCCTTCCAGGCAAGTCAAGGCCATGAGTTCAAACTCCAGTCTTGCCCCTTTCCCCCAAAGGAAACAAACCACGCTGTCAACACAAAGGACTCAATTCCCTATAATTAGACATAAGTATTTATCAAGATATTTTGAAAGGGAGAAATAAACTTTGTGAGTCTTTTTTTTTTTTGGGGGGGGTCCGGTCGTGGGGCCTGAACTCTGGGCCTGGGCGCTGTCCCTCACTCTTCAGCTCAAGGCTAGCGCTCTATCACTGAGCCGCCTTCCCACCAACTTTGTGAGTCTTAATCTCTCATCAGTCCTGTAGTTTGGCTGTAGGGAAAGGAGAAACCAGGGTGGTAGCGGTAGAAACAAGTGAATAGTAGATTTTTTTTTAGTTTTGATTTCAAGATAAAAGAGTACCAAGCATGCTTGTGTACCTGGTGAGCAGGCTCCAGGAAGAAGGGAGAGGCTGACCAGGGTTTCCTGGGAGGATGGATTCTGAGTTCAGGTAGAGGCAGGTATAGGTAGGAGTAAAATCTCGGTGCAGGCGCAGATGGCCCCTGTGCGGTGCGTTCTTCGTGCGCAGGACTCCCAGGGGGCGTCAGAGCCCTTGGTCTGAGCTCCGCATCGTTCTCCTCCTCACAGATGCAGACCCTGTGGGTGACTTCCCCTGTGGCAGGGAGGCCCCGGCCCGGCTGTGTGAGGGGGACACGGAGTGCCGCGAGTACTGGGCAGGACCCAACTTTGGAATCACCAACTTTGACAACATCCTGTTTGCCATCTTGACAGTGTTTCAGTGCATCACCATGGAGGGCTGGACAGACATCCTCTACAATGTGAGTTGCATCTTGGCCCCGGGTCAGGGGATGGACGCCTTGCTTCTGGACTGGTGCCTCTGGGACCCCATTGGGTCAGTTCTTATAGTCCTGCCCTCAGCCTTGGGCCTCTCTCTACCTTAGGATGAAATGTAGGCCCCGGTATCCGGAAGCTCAATCAGAGTCCCGAGGTCTGTCCCAACTCAAACTCTTGCTCTTGGCCCTTCTGAATCCTTCATCATGAAGGTGAAACTGAGGCCAGAAAGAAAGATGCGGAGCCGGTGCGGCCGTTACCATGGCGACGCCAGCTGCAGTGCTGGCGTAGCGCGTGTGTGTGGTGAGCCTGCCGCACGCCAGGCCCGGCTTGCACGGCATCTCTGGAGACTCTTGTAAGATGATGAGCCTGGGTTGTGGAGGAGTGCTCATTTCCCCAGCGCGCGTGTGCAGGGCCTTCTGGGTGATGTCAGATGTGAGGTGCGGGCGTCTCCCCTGCCCGGCGTCCCGGTGAGGAGCCTGGCGGGGCGGTGCTGGGCTGCGCCCGGGAAATCCCCTTCACGCTGCTTCTGGGGGTGAAGCCTGTGCGTCATGCGTTGGCCTCCTTTGCGTTTGTCTGCTTCCGTTCCCACCCCAGCTCCCCCGTGCCTCTCATCAGTTCGCGGCTGTCTGGGTTTGTTGGCCCTGGTGAAGTCAAGGGTGTCGCAGTCATGGAGGGACCTGGCGGCCCATCCCACTCGGGAGTTCTGAACGGCTCTACCCTAGCTCCTGAGCAAAGCCCAGGCTCTTCTTCATAGGAAGAACCTCCTGTTACAGCTCTCACACCCTGTCAGGTGTGTGAGCCACCAGGGCATGAGAACATTGGATGACTGCCTTGAAGACGTGGGAAAGTGGAGAATGCGGTGCACAGGGGTCTGAGAAGCTGTGGCCGCGACTGTTAACGTAGGGTAGCAGGGAGATGTGTGCTGCTTGGGGTGCTGGTGGGAGCCGTAAGGCCAAGGCACAGCGTGCTCACTCCCCAGGGAGCCTGTCGCCTGTGTGTGGAGGGAGGGGCCCCATGCCCTGGAGTCAGCCTCCCTCCGGTGTACAGGAGTACTGGCCCCTGGAGGAAGGGGATGGCCTTCAGGATCATGAAGACGGGCCTCTGGGTCAGGCACTCAGCAGTGTTTGGTCTGGTGTTTCATCTCCTCAGAAAATGCTAGAGGAATTGTTCAGCAAAAGCTGGCCCGGGTTCATGGAACCTGATTTCTCCTTGGGTGAGTCATGTCTGTTGACAGACAGAGGAGGGGCTGTGACGAGGATGGTGGTGAGGGGTTCTGCTCCTTTCTCCCTGCGGCCGATTAATGAACAGTTCCACGAGGGGGCAGACCCCAAGAACAGCTCCAAGCTGGCTGCTTTCGGTCAGCCTACCCAGGTGAGGGCCGTTTGACCAGGACTTTTCAGGGATTTAGCCAGTGGCTACAGGTGACTCCCTGTCTGACTGTGCCCAGGGAGGCAGGGCAGGACCCCACCCTTGGGGCAGCACGCCTGGAGGAGGAGGACCACCTACTTAAGCACAAACCACCAGATAGTGTGTTCCGTGGTGAGCAGGACATGTGCTGTGTCACAGGTGGGGAGGGGGGACATGTGCTGTGTCACAGGTCGGGAGGGGGGACATGTGCTGTGTCACAGGTGGGGAGGGAGGACGTGTGTTATGTCACAGGTGGGGAGGGAGGACATGTGTTGTGTCACAGGTGGGGAGGGAGGACGTGTGTTATGTCACAGGTGGGGAGGGAGGACGTGTGCTGTGTCACAGGTGGGGAGGGAGGACGTGTGTTGTGTCACAGGTGGGGAGGGAGGACGTGTGCTGTGTCACAGGTGGGGAGGGAGGACGTGTGCTGTGTCACAGGTGGGGAGGGGGCACGTGTGTTATGTCACAGGTGGTGAGGGAGGACGTGTGCTGTGTCACAGGTGGGGACGGAGGACATGTGCTGTGTCACAGGTGGGGAGGGAGGACATGTGTTGTGTCACAGGTGGGGAGGGGGCACGTGTGCTGTATGGGGTTTGCTGGTGTTCAGTGTATTAGCCAGATGTAGATCTCAAGAAAGAAGGGTTCAGATACACAGATGTGAGCACTGCGTTGTGATGTTTACATGAATAGGACTCACTTGTAGATTGGATGTCCAGTGTACAGGGACGGTGTGTAAAGGAAACATGATCTGACTTATTTGGGAAATTTAGGGGTTTTGCTGAGGAGAACTGGATGCAAAGTGTCTGCCTGGCTTTGGTTTAGCACAGGGCAGTGTCCTCAGCTCCATGCAGTTGTTAACTGTTTTCACTAAAGAGGAAATGTTGGGCTTATGGGAGGCATCTCGGAGGGACAGAGGCTGAGGGTTTGTATTTGGAGTTACGGCACATGAATGGTATTCAGACTTGTGGGACTGCAGACACCACCCAATAGTGAGTGTAACGAAGACAAGCCACAGACTCACTCTGAGAGATCCCGTTCAGAGGCCAGCGGGAAAGAAGGTCAGCAGAGTTTCAGGAAGGTGACCACTGAGCCAGGTCAGAGGAGAGGGAAAGAAAAACTTTGACTATTGCATGTGACAGGATGAAGGCTGTAGGTAAACTTGACAAGGGAGTTTGTTCTTCCCTCTGGTTCTGAGGATCAAACCCAAGGTCCTGCACATGCTAGACAGGTGCTCTCCTACTGAGTTCCAGGCCTCATCTTGACAGGAACAGACTCAGTCATGGTGTCGGACCCCTGAGAGGGGAGGCTAGTGTGCAAGGGACAAGGAAGTGAGTGTTGGTGCACAGGCCCTTTCCTGGGGAGCAGAGCAGCAGGCTGTGGCTGCAGGGTGTGTGGCACGAAGGGAGGAGAACTTTCTGCATTGGGCTTTGAGCTCAGGGCCTTGCACTGCTAAGCAGGAGCTCTATCACTTGATCTACCATCCCAGTCCAGTATTGGTTATTTTCAAGATAAAATCTTACTTTATGTGCTGGCCAGCTTGGACTGCAGTCCTGCTATTTGTGTTTCTCTTGATTGTTGCAGAGGTGGATGACAGGTATGCATCACCATGGCGGAGATGGAGTCTCACAAACTATTATGCCCAGGCTGGCCACCCAACTATGATCTCTACCTCCCAAGTAGGGTTATAGGAGTGGCTATGTTTGTGGCAAACTGAACTTTCTAACTAAATTTTTTTCAGACAATTGTATATTCACATGCACCTCCAAGATGTGATGCAGAAAGATGTTGTGTTTCCTTTACCTTCTTTCTAGCAACACCAGTGTCACCAGGGTGTTGGTACCCACCCAGTTAGGGTTCTGAGCTCTCTGTTGGTATGGGAGTGGTTGGCACCGTGGTGCACCCAGGCCACGTCTTCTCCCCTTCTACTACTTGCCTGTTATCTCACCATTTCAAGAATGTTATGCTGAGGAGACTGTAATGTTTTGGTGTTGGCTACCTCTCTCTAGCTTGGGTCTCCGGATGTCAGTCCCAATCGCGTGTGCCAGTATTTCCAGGGTTCCAATGTGTTTAACCATTCATTTATGGAACACTCTCTGGGTTGGGTCCACTCAGGGGTAATTTTCAGGTAGCATTGCTATATACATTTGTGCACAGGTTTTTGTGCAAACACAGGTTTTCATTTCTCTCTGGTACATGCCCAACAATGTACTTTTTGGTTTGCATATTTACATGTTTAGTTAAGAAGCTGACACCTTCCCAGAAGGGTTTACATTCTCACATTCCTGCCAGCAGCAGTGTGAGCACAAGCCAGTCCTGCTGCCTTCTGACAGGTGTCAGACAGGATCACCGAGTTTCCAGGCACACCATCCTGACAGGTATGGCTGAGTTTCCACACACACCATCCTGACAGGTATGGCTGAGTTTCCATGCACACACCATCCTGACAGGTATGGCTGAGTTTCCACACACACACCATCCTGACAGGTATGGCTGAGTTTTCACGCACACACCATCCTGACAGGTATGGCTGAGTTTCCACACACACACCATCCTGACAGGTATGGCTGAGTTTCCATGCACACCATCCTGACAGGTATGACTGAGTTTCCATGCACACACCATCCTGACAGGTATGGCTGAGTTTTCACGCACACACCATCCTGACAGGTATGGCTGAGTTTCCACACACACACCATCCTGACAGGTACGGCTGTGTTTCCATGCACACACCATCCTGACAGGTATGGCTGAGTTTCCATGCACACACCATCCTGACAGGTATGGCGGAGTTTTCACACACACCATCCTGACAGGAATCATTGCACAGTTTTGTTGTGTTTTTTTGCACTGATATGATTATGTGATTCTGTTAATATTATGAATTATGATCGATTTTTCTTCTTTTAAGATGTACTAGTGTGTATTAATTGTACAAGGTGAGGGGTCTTACTGTGATATTTCTGTACATGTCTCTAATGTCCCGTGATCACATTTGTCCCTCTAGTCTCATTCCCCTTCTCAAGTCCTCTGTTATTTATGTATTTATTTATTTATTTTTAATGTGTCAAAAAGAACCATTATTCTTTTTGTTTTGTTTTGTTTTTGTTGGTCGTGGGGCCTGAACTCTGGGCCTGGGTGCTGTCCCTCAGCTCTTCACCTCAAGGCTAGCGCCCTACCACTTGAGCCACCTTCCTAGCCCTGTTATTCCTTTTTATTAACAGCCTCTAAAGCTTTCTTGCCAGATGCTTTAGGGTTCTCAGACCCTTCCATGCTTTTGGAGACCATGCTGCTTGCTGGCCTGTGGTTTTCTGGGCAGTAGCCCTATGGCCTGAGGCTTCTGGGTCCCCATCAGCAGCTTTCTTTGGCTGCACTTTTACCTTTAGCAGCTGCTGCTGCAGCAGCCCCCACAACAGGGCTTTTTTGGGAGAAGCTTTCAAGAGAGGGGCCTCCCGAGGTTTCTCTGCTTCACTCTTTTTTTCTAATTTATTTGTTATTGTAAAGGTGATGTACAGAGGGGTTATAAGAAGTCAGATAAGGGGTGCATTTCTTTTTGGACAGTGTCACCCCTTCCCTCACT